TCCCGGCGGAGTGGGCTACGGCGGGGGAGGGGGCGGGCTCTCCTTGCCTCCGGCGAGGGGCGGGGCTGCCGCCGGCCAATCCGGGGCGTGCGCGCGGTTTTCAAACCCGGCGCGGGATGGAGTCTGTCCTCCTCCTGCCGCACCCGCGAATGCCCTTATTTTACGGGTGGAAAACGCGTCCTAATACCCTGTGCGTAGCGGCTGATTTGTTTTTCTGACTCACGAGGACGGGTTTTTTTCATGTTTGTAATTTATGGCTTTCAGGCAATAGTGGGAGAATATGAAGTACTTCACTCTAATGCTTCCCATAATGAACCCAGGATGGTTTCTAAAGCGCAGCATTAACTAATCTAAGTGACAGGGGCTGGTTGTGGAAATGGTAACGGAGGACTGCAAACTAAAAGAAAATAGACTCAAGTGTACTTTTCCATAGCATGTACAGAAACTACTGGAAGCCAGGCATACATGCAGTAGAGGATCATCATATACCTGTTCAGACTTGAACCGACATTTCTGTTCTTTTTCATTTTGACAGTGTGTCGTTTAAAAGCACCGTTGGGTTTTTCTGCAAAAGTTTCCTTTCCTCTTATGGTATTTCCTCCTGACTGTAACCTTCTTTGGTTTGACCATGTTCTTTCATGCTGCCTTTTTGGGCTTGTTGGCCTTAGCTTGGGGCTCTTAGCCACGGCAGCTGCCAGCTTCTTGGGGCTCCTCGTGGCTGTCTTGGCCTGCTTGAGCACTGGATTCCCTTGCACTCCATGGAGGCAGACAGCCTCTGTGATCAGCTCAGCGATGCTGGGGCTATGGCCTTTGCAGCCACCCATCACCACCTTCAGCTTCTTGGGGGTGGGCAGTCTCCAACATGGTCAGAAACAGCTTTCAAAAACTGGTGGAGGGTGTCAGGGGGATATAAATAATGATAATTTGCAAGAAGCCGGTGCTTATAGGGAGAAGCCTCTCTGCCATTGGTGTGTTGGGGAGTTTGTCCCATAGGAACACAGGGAAGGCATTTCTTCCCTTTCTATTTCCTCAGAACAGATTTTATTTTTTCCCTCCACTGTAGGGGACACCTCAGTCCCTCTGGGTTTTTTGTTGTTTTTTTTTTATGCAGATATAGATAAAACATGCTTTTATTTCTTTTTTCATTCAATTGTGTTTTACTAGGAAGAAAACAAAACTGCCTGAACCGGAGTGTGCCACGTGGAGCCTCTTAATGAGGCCGCCTGAGGGCTGGGGGTTGTTTTCTTTGTTCTTTAACAGTGCCCCTTAAGAACTAAGGCACGAAAACTCTGCTTTTTGTATTGTTCTGCCTCAGGAGGCAGAGGAGTGAGTCACTGTGGCAATGTGTTAATCGAAAATGGTGTGAGGAGGGAGCATTTCTCTCTCTCTCAAGAGGAATGCCCATACTGAAGTGCCTGAGAGGGAAGTCTCTCTGTTCTTCTTTTGGAAATTAGGGAAGGAGGGGTTTTGTAGTTTGGTTTTTTGTTTTTTTTTTTTTTCCTACTGATGTTTGAAAAATCACTTAAATACAAGTATTCTACCTTTTTTTTTTTCTTTTCAAATGAGATATGGGTAGATTGAAATGCGGTCTAAAGTTGTGGCAGTTTTTCTATTATCTTCTTCATTAGAAACTACTTGCAGTCAGTAATGGTAATTCATAAAATTTACCATTTTCTTCTCCACCTTTCTCGACATGTTTCCCCCTGAGATGATGCATGTAATGAGCTCTGTTTCCTTATATAGCAGTTTATGACTAATATTCTGGTTTTAATGCCACCAAGATTGTTTTCATAATGTTCTTTAGCATATTTTTATTAGTACAGGGAAAGTCTATACCAAATCCTCTTTTCCTTCAGCTAAAATACGAATGGAATATTTTCCTACAATTACCGCATATCCTTGTTTCTCCTGACTAAAGATTCACATTTAATGTAGAAAGGTAATCTATTCTTCTACCTCAGGTAACTATGCTCGTTATAAATGAACAGATTTTCCATCTGCATACCATAGTTAAATACAAGTTTTGTGTATGTTAAAATAGGAGAAAGAAATGGATTATATCACCTATTTACTTATGTGACAGAGGAGAGAAGTACTTTATTTCATCACAGATCCAGAATTTCTAATTAATCTGGATACCTTCCCAAATTTCTTTCCACCTTTCCACTTCAGACAGCCTAAATTCTCATAAAGGAGAAAGGCTTTAGAGGTAAGAACAGTCCATCACAGATGCTGTTGGTCATGAAAAAAAGTTTTGTATCATAGATGACCTAAATTATTTTTTACTTTTAAGTCCACAGAAAATATATCCTTATGCTTTAAAGTACTAGCTGTAGCATAGGTAGTGTGATTTCTCATATAGCTTGCTCCCAAAGAATGTTATTCAATGTGTAGTTACTTAATAGTTCTGTTTTTCCATAAAGAACTAGAATATAATATTCAAGATAATATTAAAAAATTGTGCTCAGTTGCACAAACATTCCCAAGTATTCAGACAAACAAGTAAAAAACATGAAGTAATAACAGAACATTCACTTTTCAGTTGACTTTCTCTTTGTGAAAATAGTGTATGGAAAAGTCCTTGAATATTCTTATCCTTCAAAAAGTCTTATTCATATTTTTCTTGAAAAACATTATGCTTGGTTGCTCTCTGATCACCTCACTGCGGAGAGGATAGTTTGAACTCCCTTGGTACTAAGCAGTCTTCCTCAGTCTTAGAGGAAGGTGTGATTTTAACTTTTTTAAATGTTTTCCCCTTGCCTTTCAGGAGGCGTTGCATTAGCCTAACATATTTACCTTTGCCTAGGCCAACAAAAATGAATGGAATTAATTGCCTGCTACCAAGGGTATCCCCATGAGACTGTGGGCTTCTCTTTGTAAAACTCATCTGAACATTTATGTGACACAATCTACGCAAAGATTAAACATTTATAGGTCTTTTAATAAATTACTCAGATACCTTCACCCAAATTTTTAGTTCCTTTAGTACTTTTCTGCAACCATACATGGCAAATCAAAGTATGATAACTTAGGAATATCTTACAATTCTGGTGTAATGTATAGAAACCTTTGAATAATATCAGTATTTGTTTACTTTTCATAATCACTTGTAAACAGACTTGCTTAGGCACCAGATGGAAGTTTTTTAGAAAAAAGTTATTGATATTATTGTTTATTTCTCTCAGGTGCACAGTACAGGATCAATTTAGACTTTGGTAAACATGAAAGAAACTCACGTCTCCACACCATTTCAGAGGCGCTGAAGCTGACATTCAGGAAATTTGAATGACAGTCTGAAAGCAAATTGCACTAACTGACTTCAGAAACGCAACAGAAACCTGCATTTGCAGGTAACAATAAATGCTTTGAGTGGATCCACTATTAACAGAAAAGCAGATTGCCGTAATCCATGGCTAAATCCTTCTGTCTTTCTCTTTGAATCTTTCGAGAGTATCCCCAATATTACTGTAGCACAGCTAAGTGACGGCGGGGGGAGAATCAGTTTGCGGCGTTTCCCCCATCGCTGTAAACCGGTTCAGGCCGAGGACGGTGGCGGAGAGGGGTGGCCCCAGGCACCGCCCGCCCGGTGCCGCTGAGCCCAGGCTGCAGCAATTTCTGACCAATCCTGCCTGGGAAACAGATTCACTCCGCCCCAGTCTCTTATTCCCTTCCTCCTCCACCTCTTTCTCCTTCTCCTCCTCCCTTGCTCCTCCTCGCCCTCCATGTCCTTTCGGTTGCCTTCTCCGCCACCCCCTTCCTTCCCTTCTCCTCCACGAGCCGTTTCACGTCGTTAATCCGCGGGCAAGGAAGCTAAATCTGCTGGTGAGCACCCCGCCCTGGCTGCTGTTAAAACCAGCCTGCGTTTTGCGTAGCTCTAATGTTTCTTGTATCGACTGTTGGTTTTATTTTAACTGCGCTTCATTTATAGTGCGGCTGTTGCCCAGGGTAAAACAAACAAACAAACAAAAAAAAACCCATCACCACACACACACACACAAAAAACCCACTAACAACCAAAACCCAACAACAAAAAAAAAAACCACTCCACACAAAACAAGGGGCAGTCGGGGTTCCAGCTTGCTCTGCTAGAAAATATTATTTTGATTCTGCAGACTTCACGGTTAAGAGAGCAACCACCCTGCATGATAAATTACTTCTGTAAGGAGTCCGTTATTATTAGAGCATTTTTTCCCTTGTTCATTCTGTCCTAGAAAACATGTGACTGCATGGTACAGAAGCAACCCTATCATACTAACTAGACTGCAGATATAAGTTTTTTGTCTCCAGGAGGCATTTCTACATATCACTTCTTTAAGAAATCAATTACTTCAGGCCTCTGCATATTACTCTTGTCATGTGAGGAGGGATTTCAAATCGAAACTAAGTCCTTCCATCTTTATACAGACACTGCAGCTTTTTCCTGCCATGGAAATTCCTCTGTTGCCTCCACAAGTAGTCTGTGAGAGAATTAGAGAAATATCTGTATAAACAAGGATGCTAAGTAACTTGTAATCCCTGGGGGAAAAAAAAAAAAAACAAACCACACCCACAACACTAAACAAAAGAAAACACACACACACACAAAAAAAATCCTTAAATGAATAGGAGTTTTTTTGTTTGGTTGGTTTTGGTGGTTGTTTGTTGGAGGGTTTTTTGACCTTGTGAGAAAAACAAAACTGATCCTCAATAAGTGCATGTAATTGACTGGTAGTTGATACCACCAGGGATCAGTGTAGGATGCTTTAAGAGATGGGAACTATTTAATACCAGTGTTAGGAAATGCTCACAGTTATGCAAGCACCTGTGTTCTTCACAACTGATTTCTATAGAACGAGGTGGTTCATCACCACCAGCTCATTTCTTTCATTTGGAAAAAATCCATAGAGATAAGGAGCCCATTTACTTATTTACATTTACAATATTTAGGAAGCTCTTCTGGCCCCTGTAACCTTCTGGTTGCTAACTAACTATATAATTAGATTGGACCCTGCTGAACTTGACAGATTTAGCCACTGAGCTTATAGATATTAAAGACCTTATAGATATTAAAGAAGTCAGAACATCTTCACCCATTAGTTGTCTCTGTCCTAGTACCTTTAGGAGCAAAGCTGGTTTTAGGCCTTAAATATTTTTTTTTCACTTTTCTCAAAACTTTCTTTTCCAGTTGCACCACATCTTTTTTGATTTAGAGGCCAGAAATGTACACGGTACTCTAGGTGCAGCTATTCCATACAGTGCTACACAGATACAATATCCTCTGTTTTGTTCTCTATTCCTCTTCTGGTGATTCTTGACATACACATTCTTTTCATTTTAGTGTCTCTGAGCACTGAACAAATTATTTGTTTAGTTATTCATTATTTTCAGGTTCATGAGAATTTTTTTATTAGGATCAACTGTAAGGGTGCACTGAAGGTGGAATATTGTGGCAAGACATGTCTGAAGACTGAGTCAGGGAGCCAGGACAGAAGAACAGGCAGTGAAACTGAAAACTATGGTCAAAAGAGTACTGAGTCTGGCTGAGCTGGAACTGGTTTCCCCTATAGCATCCCTCACGGTGCTGCGTTTTATGTTGGGAGCTGGCAGGGTGTTGATAGCACCCTGGTGTTGTGGCTGCTGCCGAGTGGTGCTTACACAGCACCAAGACTCTTTCTGATATTTTCCCCCTACAGCAGGACGGGGTGGGCAAGATCTTGGGAGGGGACACAACCAGGACAGCCGACCCGAACTGACCAAAGGGATATTCCAGACCATGTGACGTTTGCTCAGTACAAAGCTGGGAGAAAGGAGGAAGGGTACTACGCGTATGTGAGCCCTGATTCTGAGAAGGCCCGACATCGCCTCTTCATGGGAAGGAGAGAATAAATCTGTTTGATTTTTTTTTGCTTCCGCACGCAGATATTTGCTTCGCTTTGCTTATATTAAAACCACTTTTGTTTGACCCACAAGGGTTGGTCTATCTTATTTTCTTTCCCCACTTTGCCCTGGTGAGAAAACAAGGGGAAAGGTAGGAGGAATGATAGAGCAACTTGGTGGGTAACTGACATTTAGCCGTGGTCAAACCACCACAAAAAGAAAGTGAAAATATTAGGAGGCTGAAATTTATTTTCATTTAGTGACATCCAAAACACCTAAAGCTTGTAGAGTCCAAGATGCATATACTATAAAGCTTATGGTAGGAGCACTGTTGCAGGTCAGGCAAATGGAGATCTTGATTATCACCAGAAAGATGGTTTGATTTGCCATCATCCATTATGATCCAGAAGTCCAAGTCCACATGTGTCTACAGGCAGAGAATTTCCTATTAGCTGATAGTCCTAGGCACTTACTGTGTACATATGGACTGCTAACTGCTGAAGGACCTTACAGCTGCATCAGAGCAGCTCTAATGCTTTTTTAGGTAGGGGGGGCATTTAAACAGAAAATTTCATACTGATGAGTGCGTGTGTATGCATGCACATATAACATGCTGGAGGTGTAAAAGCATAGTATTATACAGAACAACAGCAGCATAGGATAATCATCAAGATAATGTTTAATATTTAATTACTAGACATTGAAAAATGGGAGAAAAAATAGGCTATTACCTCATAAAGGACTTTTAACTTTCTCCTATGTGCTTTCTTTTTGCTTTCAGACCAAGCTATCCCTTGTCCGTCTCTGCAAGTTTGGGAATAACCAGCAAGGGGTACTGAGGGTTACTAAATAAACACATCAATGCATGAAAAGGTAACATTTTTAAGTGTCAGTAATTAATAAGTAAATATTTTTGTGAGGTTTATAAAACTCTGTTTGAGATGGACCCCACTGTTCCTAGGGTAGGAGCTGCCATGATCCATACCAATTTCCAGCTTTCATCTGGAGGAAAGAGACTTTGAATGCACCAACTGTGACCTTTAGCACACAGTTGGAAGTAGAGCCCAGAAGCAAATGCACAACTGAGAAGAAACCTTGCTGTGCCCTGGGGCAGACAGACCCATGAGGAGCAGTCAGTCCATGTCCAGGTCCATCAGGTTAGTTCATGAAAATGAAAACGAGGGCTGAGCTGACCAAAACTCAGATAGTCCAGCAGTAATTTAGGAGCACCATGAGCTGTCAGGTGCAAAATGTGGGATTTTCCTTTATATATGGAAAACTGACTATGAGCCAACAATGTGTGCTTGCAGCCCAGAAAGCCAACCATATCCTGGGCTGTATCAAGAAAAACGTGACCAGCAGGTCAAGAGGAGGCCATGAAGATGATCAGGGAGCTGGAGCACCTCCCTTATGAGGACAGGCTGAGAGAGTTGGGGTTGTTCAGCCTGGAGAAGGCTCTGAGGAAACCTTATAGCAGCCTTCCAGTACTTAAAGGGGGCCTACAGGAAAGATGAGGACAGACTCAGGGAGTGTAAGGATAGGATGAGGGGTTACAGGTTTAAACTGGAAGAGGGAAGATTTAGATTAGATATAAGGAAGAAATTCTCTATTGTGAGGGTGGTGAGACACTGGAACAGGTTGCCCAGGGAAGTTGTGGATGCCCCCTCCCTGGCAGTGTTCAAGGCCAGGTTGGATGGGGCTTTGAGCAACCTGAGCTAGTGGAAAGTGTCCCTGCCCATGGCAGGGAGTTGGAACTAGATGATCATTAAGGTCTCTTCCAAGCCAAACTATACTATGATATTGAGGGATAAACACCAGTCATGCCAATGGACCTGTCTTCAGTTTCTGGCAGACAGCCTATGCAGAGACTGACAGACTGGAGTCTCCATACAAGTAGGATGCATAGAGTATTCATTTTGCTTGTGTTGTAATTTGTGGCAACTGAGGCACAGACTCTCCATTGAAGTGCAGAAGGAAAGACTCTTTATTATTTCAATAGTACATACTTACGCTCTCGCCAAAGCTCTTACTTCATAATTAGCAAATCAGCAATTAAACAGATATCAATCCTTTCCCCTATCAGCATAAGGCCACTCTAACACGCGCTGTGCAGACCAATCACTTTCTTGCTCACGCACTGTTCACGCAGCGGTAACTTCTCACAGTTTAGTACTTTTCTACAGTTCAGTGTTGCAGCTGTCCGTTGCTGTTCCCTGCCACCTTGGCACAACTCAGCAGTTTCTTATCCAAGGCCTGTTTTTCATCAAAGCCTATCTGTTTCTCAGAAGCTGTGTAAGGCTGACAGGCTGATGTCTCCCACAGTAATTAACAAAGTTGTTGTGTAACAGCAATAATTTATTTTTTCATGAAATTACACAACTTCTGTAATATTTTCATCATGTTGATTGTCACTCTAGGCAAAAATCCATATCCTTTCTAGTTGGACTTCTACATTTCATGTGATTATGCTCTGAGAACATTTACATTTCCCTAGGAAGATGATGCATTTTTATTCCTTTCCCTCACAAATTTTTCAACTAAGTAAAACAGCACCTTTAACACAAGTTTCTGCTTTAAGAGGTGAAGCAAATCTGTGTCTCCAAATTTCAACATTTCTATCACAATAGTTTTAGCTGGTTTAAAAAAAAAAGATGCGACAATTTTTAAGTTGATATTAATTGTCCTACTGAACTAAAAATACATGTGCAGGCAGATCTACTGACAGATCAACAGGTCCTACAGAAAACTACAGAGTTTTCTTCAAAACCCCAAAGAAAAGTAGATCACTGAAGAGAAAACAATTTTTGAAATTCACATTACTCAACAGCCTCCTCAAGGGGGTAATTGTCTTTTGGCAAGGCCAGAAGTATTAGCAGGAATGTCAGGATGGGATATTGAAAGCTGATGCAGAAAGGAATAAAAGCACTAAGATCTGCTGTGACATGCCTAGAGTAGAAAGAGGAACAGAGTTGTTTCCTCACTTCTTTGTGCCCTCATCCAACTTATTCCTTAACTCCAGTGTGCCCTTGCTGCCTTCACACATCACAGGAGAGAGCTCAAGGCTCTTCCAACTAATGCTGACTGATCAGGAAGAGGAAAACAGAACCTTTCACCCTCCCCATACTGTCTTGATTGATGGAAAAAGCTGAATTGTAAAAAAAAAAAAAAAAAAAAAAAAAAAAATTATTAATGGGTAGGTCATATGCTCACTTGTTGATTCTTAGGAACAAAATCCATGTAAATGAACCACCAGGAATGAAAGATGAACACTGGCTATAAAATATGAAACCAAGATGTCATCTTAGGAAATGAAGTATTAGTCCAGAATTCAGTCAATGCAGATTGTTCTGAGCTGCTTCTTCCTTTTCTGAAACACTGAAAGGTTAGAGCTCCAGTAAAGAGCATGTATGTCCCTTCTTTTGATTTAATTTTGTCTATTTTCAGAAGTGCTCAACACTTCAATAATTATATATAGACTATTATTTTATACCTAGAGCTGCCAGTGAAATGTTTAGAAAGATACCACAAACATACATTACACCAAAATAAAACCAAGAAAATGAAACTGACTGTGTGGAAAAGGTAAAATTAGGTAAGCATAATTTGACTTTAACAGTCATGAAATATAGAATAATATTTCCACACCCAAGTATTCTGTAATACAGCAATCTTTCTATGTACATTACTATCACATCTATAAAGATTCTGTGTATAACCATAGTAAAAAATCATGCCTTAGACTATCTGTGGTTTTTATCCCTTTTGAAGTTAAGATATTGCTTCGGTCAGAAACGAAATACATTGCTAGCTGTTTTGATGGTTCTGCTGAGTTGTCACTCTTAAGAAGTAACAAACCTTGGATAAGGATGAAAAAAATGGTTATTTAAGAAAATCTTATATTAAAGAGGATTAAAAAAGTATGATGCAAAAATAAGCAAAGCTTAAATTTCATGGGAAAAAGTATTAACCATATAATAAATGCCACAAAAATAGATATCATGAACAAAAAAAGAGTTTGAAATGGATGCTAAAAGAGATTGCAAGCTCTTGACAAAGTGCCAATCAACATTCAACCCCAGTAAGTAGGCATTAAGAGTTGAATAAAGCTGTTTGCAAGGTAGAATACCTATACCCAGTAAACCACATAAAGAGAATTAAATTGTTTCAGTGGATAGTCTACAAGAATATTAACACCTAAAGTATTTGAAATCACGAGGTGAAATGAAAGCAAACCTACAGAAAAGATATGCAAACAATTGTTTGAAACAAAATGTAACAGATGAGAAGGAAAAAATAATTTCTTCAGCAGACCTGATGAGAACAAAGGAGGCCATTTGAATCTAGACAGAGGAAAAAACATACTAATCACTGCCAGGGAAAATGTCTATGATATTAAGAAGTGAGATAATTAATAGGCAGGAAAGAGTACACTTTATAGTTAAGCAGAAGCTTTACTGAGATTTCTGTTGTATACTATTCGTTCCATAACCTGTAAATGAGGGAGAAAAAGAGGCTGAATATAAACTCTTTTTTTTTTTTTCCCTCAAACAGTAAGAAAACTGACAAATACTGTGCAGAAGTGCAGTGATTCTAATATAAACTAAGGAACTTCATCTGTGCCAACACCACCATAAAGGTTGATATGCTATTTTTGCAGAACTGAATTGGCTGATATAAACACTACAAAGCTCTCCATCTACACATTAAAATAGTTATCAAAATGGTGGTCAAACAAGCTTAATTAAATAACATACATACTAGAAGGCTACTGAGAGACAGAAAAAAAAATCCCCAAACAATCCCCTTCCAAAGGGGCAAAGAGGGAAAATTATTTCAAAAAAAAAAAAAAAAAAAAAAAGGAATAAAAAGGACAAATGGAACAAAAATGTAACAGCTCAAAGGGAAAGGGCTGTGAAACTGCCAAGAAAACAATTTTCATACCAGGAAGCATTGTAGTACTAGGGACCCATTAGAAAACATGGAAAATATTGAGGGGGGGAAGCAAACAAAATGAGAAATACCTCACCAACCAAACGCAAAAAAATAGTGTCTTTTTCACAAATATAATTAACTAAGGAAAGCCTATTTAAAAGAAAAGGGTCATAAATAGCAAATGATTTGAATAGCATTAACTTGATGATCTTCTGGGAACAAATTAAAATAACCTCAAATATATTTCTAGGTAAATTTACATACTAAGTCAGACAGAAAAATTAAGACCGTGTGCGCACGTGGAGTATTTGAGGGCTTTCTACCAGTCGTGCCTCACGGGAGACACTGCTGCAGCCACTGTAACGCTGGTGATGCAACAGACACCCCACCCCCAGCAAACACCATCTCCTGAAAAAATAAAGCTGCTAAACCGGTATATCGAAACCCTTCAAAGCTCCTTAGTTATTCCTAAAAGAAAGGTCAATGCTACGGGGCATGTTACCCCACTGTGACCTCCCCCAGGTGGAAACATCGACTGACCAGAACACCACAACAGCGAACCCCAACTCCGCCCCGGCCGGGCCCTTTGTTGGAGCGCGGCGAAATGGCGGCGGCGGCGCGGGGGAGGGGCGGGGCGGTGGCGCGCGCGCGGGAAGG